CGGAAGTGAGAAAGTTGCCGGCGTCCCGAGGCGAGTTGGCAGAGCTGTGCGCGCGGCGCTGCGATGGGGGGCTCGGGCAGTCGCCTGTCCAAGGACCTGCTGGCCGAGTACCAGGTGCGCGGGACGCCGGGCCCCAGGGAGCTTGCGCGCGGGCCTGCGCTCCGGAGCGGGATCCCCGAGCCGGGGGCAGGGCGGCGCGGCCTCCGGGCGGCCCGCTGAGCTCCGCTCTCGTTTGCCTTCCAGGACTTGACGTTCCTTACGAAGCAGGAGATCCTCCTGTAAGTGCTGTCTCGATCCTCACCTCCAGGACCCCCTAGAGGCGGCTTCGGGGGGGCTCTTACAGATGGGCAAACTGAGGCCGCCCACAGGGAGGGTCAGGGGCCTGCCTGAGGTCAGCAGCTGAGCCGGAACTGGAGTCCAGGGCCCCGAGCCCTGGGCTGTGTGCCCTCTTCCCGGCACGCCCTCCCCACTCGCGCCCGGGGCTCCAGCTCTGCACCGCGGAGCCACTTCGTAGCCGCCGGCCCAAGTTAGGCGCTCTTTGACCCTGTGCTCCACTGGCTTCTGCAAAACCGAACTTCCGCCCCAGTCCGGCAGGAACTGCTGTGGCTCTCGGACGACCTCGCCTACTGGCAAAGCCGCAGAAGCCTTGGGGAACCTGGCTCCTCCTCCCAACTTTACCTGAATAATTCAGTAACCGTTAACGCTCACTGAGTACTTACCCTGCCCAGGAACTGTGCTAAGTGGTTTGCCTACATTACGTAATTTAATTCTCATGGGAGAGGTACGGGGACAATGAAACAGGTTCAGAGAAGTTTGGTCGCCTGCCTAAGACTACACTCCTAGTAAGAGGATTTGAACTGAGGCTGGAACTCTATTCCTAGTCGTGTGCCAGCTTTTTGTGGCCAGGGCACTTGAGTAAGGAGATTCCTGGGCTTCCCTTGGCAAAAATAACCTCAGTGGGAAGGAGGTGGGGGCTGAGGAGGAGATAGTTCAGGGCAGCTGCTAAAAAGAGGGAGGCTTTGAGGAGCAGGAAATCCCTGGAGTGAAATGAGGAGATTTCGATTTTGCTCTTTTCTCCCTGTTCTTCAGGGCCAACTTCTGACTCCTTCCCCAAACTTTCCACCCCTCAGGGAGCTCTGGAATGAGTGCCCAGCACAGTGCCTGACACACAGCAGGCACTCAGTACATACCCATTGCAAGAATGGGCTCCCAGCCTGTACTGTCTTGTGATGTACCTCCCTTCGGCTTATCATGCCTGATGACTCAGAAGTTCTGTTTATGTGGCTTAGCTCCTCACCTGGTTTGCAGTGGGTAGCAAGGCAAGGAGTGGGGATGCAACACCCACGAGAAGGCGCACCAACAGGTTCCCCTCCTTCTGCCAGAGCCCACAGGCGGTTTTGTGAGCTGCTTCCCCTGGAGCACCGGACTGTGGAGGAGTCACTGCAGATACGGGTGTCCTTGGAGCAGATCCTCAGCCTTCCAGAGCTCAAGGTGCTAGCCCCCCACCCTCCCTCTGCTACTCATTGCTCCCCATTCTGGTCTTTTCTCTGTGTAGCCCTAATTTCCTGAGGGCAAGGGCTTTACCAAAATCGCCTGATGGAATTATCTAGAATGGTGTTTTTCAAACTGGGGTTCTGGGACATATTCTTGGAGGTTCAAAGTTTTGTCCTTTAAGAGGAGTTACCTTGTTAAAATTTGAGAAACTCTATTCCAGAGGCAGATTGCCTTTCCATAGGGCTGCTGTGAAAATTTCCATGCAAAGGGCCTGGGCTAGCACTTCTAACAGTAAGTGTTAAGTAGATGTCTGTCTTTTATTTTTTTATTTTATTTATTTATTTTTTTAAACAGTTTTATTTATTTATTTTTTTGTGAGGAAGATCAGCCCTGAGCTAACATCCGTGCTAATCCTTCTCTTTTTGCTGAGGAAGACCGGCTCTGAGCTAACATCTATCACCAATCCTCCTCCTTTTTCTTTTTTTTTCCCCCAAAGCCCCAGTGGATAGTTGTATGTCATAGTTGCACATCCTTCTAGTTGCTGTATGTGGGACGCGGCCTCAGCACGGCCGGAGAAGCGGTGTGTCCGTGCGCGCCCAGGATCCGAACCCGGGCCGCCAGTAACCGCTAAGCCCCGGGGCCGGCCCTGATGTCTGTCTTTTAAAATAACCAGCCTATCCTGTTCTCTTTGCTTAGGATGTCTTCCTCTTCCTTCTCTGTCCCCCGGCCTGCCTTTGGGTTAAATTCCGACTCCCAGGAAGCCATCCTGTCCCTTCCCCAGCTGGGTCATTGGTCCTTCTGCCCTCCATGCTGGCCCCAAAGTACTGAGGTTCTCCCTCGTGAGCCTGAGCTCATGGTGCGAGTACCGTGACCTGCTCCCTCCAGTTCCTGGTTAGGGTTTGATGAGTGTGCGACCTGGGCTGCGTCCTGTGGTGTTCACAGAATGCTCTCTTGCCTAGGCCAACCCCTTCAAGGAGCGAATCTGCAGGGTCTTCTCCACATCCCCAACCAGGGACAGCCTGAGCTTCGAGGACTTCCTGGACCTCCTCAGTGTGTTCAGTGACACAGCAACCCCAGACATCAAGTCCCACTATGCCTTCCGCATCTTTGGTAAGGACCAGGCGGAGCCTGGTGGAACACCGCCCCTTCCCACGTGGCTGGGAGTCATTCATGGAGCCTTGAAGCTCATCTTGACCATATCCTTTTTGGCTTCCTGTCTGCTCTTTAGACTTTGATGATGATGGAACCTTGAACAGAGAAGACCTGAGCCAGCTCGTGAACTGCCTCACGGGAGATGGCGAGGACACCCGGCTCAGTGCTTCAGAGATGAAGCAGCTCATTGATAATGTGAGGGGCTGGGCCGGGCCAGGGAGCAGGAGGGAAAGGTTGGGGCTTTGGCCTGAAGCTCTCCCTTTCCCAGATCCTGGAAGAGTCTGACATTGATAGGGATGGGACCATCAATCTCTCCGAGTTCCAGCATGTCATCTCCCGTTCACCAGACTTTGCCAGGTATGACAGTGGTTCCCATCTGCTGCATCTCTGTCTGGGATGTTATTATGGGAGGTGGTGCCCGGTGTGAGAGAAAGCCTCCTGCTTCCTCTGAATGTATCACGGTAGCTCTTCTTCTACAAGGGACTGCCAGGTGTGGGACACAGCCCCTTCCAAAGGGTCTTAGGGGAGAGGTGGGTAAGTTTGGGTTTAGTCTCTATTCTCTTCCAGCAAAAAACCCAACCCTCTCTTCTCGTCAGCTCCTTTAAGATTGTCCTGTGACAGGAGCCACAGCATGTGTCCCAGCACCCTGTTGAAGAACCTTTTCACTCCTGAGCTGTGGCCAAGGTTATGCCTGTGTCGCCACGGCTGGCCAAGCTGGCCCAGCCTAGAGCTGGCACTGCACAGTCTTGCCCCGGGCAGGGGAGGGGCCTCCATGTCAAGGCCTCTCCCCTTCTCACTGCCAATGTCATCACTGTTTGTGTTTCTACTAATCAATAATAAAGGTTTAGAAGTTTTGACTCTGTGTGTGACACTACAAACACTGGTATGAAGAAGGACTGGACTTCTAGCAGCCTTTGGTCATATTGGGAAAAAGTAGGACCTAAAGAAAGGGCCAGCAGGAAGTCAAACTGTACCCACCCCTCCCACCCTCTCGTGAGGATGTGCAGCTGAAGGGTAGCATCAGGACAGAACTCTTCTGTATCCTGGTGGTGGTGGTGGTTACATGAATTCCTACATGTGTTAAACTTTATAGAACTGTATAGCATAAGAAAAAAATCAATTTTACTGTGATAATTTTCACAACGAACATTTTTTGAAGAGTTAAAAAAAAACAAACCACCCTGTCACCTGTGCCCCTACCCCTGAACTGAACTGGAGAAGCAAAGTAAAGGGGCTGAAGTAAACTGAACAATCCCCCACCCCTGCCCCATAGTGCGTTAACTCGCCACCTTAAGAACCGCGCTCCACAGGAGACACAGTCAGTCAGCCAGGCTAGGCTGGCTCTGGCCCACTAACCCCTCAAAGAGGAGGCTCAGAACCTCCCAGATCTCAGAGAACTAGACCAACTTCAAAGAGCAACAGTCCTCTAAAAGGAAGGGCCACAATTCAATTTCAATTCTTTAGATTTTATTTAAAAAAAAAAAAAAAAAGTAAAGTGCGTCTTGTTTAAAAAATATAAAACCCACATCAACTCAAGGCCCCTGTGCTGGGCAGTGTCAGTATCCCTTAGATGGAGGCAGGTGATGTGTAGGGGGTGAACTGGGGACTGGGCCTGAAGACAAGGCTAGGGTAGATGTGGGGAAAAGGGACACACAGGTTCTCTCGGGCTGTGATGGAGGAAGGCAGGCAACAGTTCCTTCCTTGGGTTCCGAGGGAAAGGTCTAATTGTCATCAACTCTCTCCTGGGCTCATGCGCTGCCCTCTCTGTCATGCAGCCACAGCCTGATACAGGCCGGAAAGGCCCAGCGGGTGGGTCCGAGCCCCGGGGCCGGTGAGGGCTGCAGCACTGGCGTAGCTCCCTGGTCCCTGAGGTGACAGGATGATGGCGGTAACAACTTGGCCAGTCAGCAAGGCAGGACTCACAGCGCCAGAGCTGGCCCTGGCTCTGCGGGGAAGGCAGAAGGTGGAAGAGACTAGCTGGGAGGGATCTCCAACTGTCTCAAACACCCACTTTGGATGAGTCTCCAACGCCCCTGCAGGGCCTTGCTGGGGGGCTGTGAACTGGAGCGGCCGTTTGCTTGGCATTGTGTTGTCTCTCACTCTTCTCACTCGTAATTCACATTTTCAATTGTCTTTTAAACAAAGGGCTCAGTTTACATAAGGAGCACTGTTCTGCCCACCTGGGCAGGCCCCCATCTTCAGCCAGGACCTCCGGGGCCATGGCTATCTCGGTTGGAGAGGACCTCGCTACTTGGCTGAAAAGCAGCAGGCCAGCTGGCCCCATCGATCCCAAGGGCTGGGCACCATGGCTGTGTTCCACGAGGAGCAGAGGTCCAGCCGACCCCATCTGAGGACTCCCGGCCCTTGAAGCCAGGGTGGCCTCCTCTAGAAGTCTGCTCTCACACCACAGAGTCCCGGATCTCAGAGCCCAGGCGGACCCGGGGCCGGGGGCACACCGGGGACACCTCCACGAAGCTGTCCTGGATGCTGAGCGGCCTCTTCTCTGACTCAGTGAAGACCCGGGGCTCTGGGGGGCTATCTGACAGGGCTTGATAGCCTCGGTGGTCAAGTGGGGTGCTAGGGGGGCCCATGCCGTTGAGTGGCCGGGTCTCAGGTGGCAGCACCACAGGGCGGGTCTTGGGGTGCACACTGGCACACTCCCCCTGCTTCAGGAAGACTTTCATGCCACCCCGGTGCCGGTACAGGAAGAATAAAATTAGGAGCACCACGGCGAACACAAACAGCGTGCACATCACCAGGAACTCGGTCCAGTAGGACTTGTCCTCACCCCAGCTGACCTCGTCGCTGGCTGGAGCACTCACCCGCGACGTGTTGATAATGACAGGCACGCTGCCACTGTGGTCCCCTCGGTCTGCCACCTCCTCTACCACCTTTGGGCAGTAGCTGGTTACTAACTGCCGGAAGCCCTCCTCCAGCGACCAGCACTCGAACACCCCCAGCTCCTGCTGGCTGCCCACCAGCAGCAGGTCCCCAGTGGGCAACACACGGCGGGAGGCTGAGGCATTGACAGGGGCCCCATTGTGCAGCCAGAGCCGGGCCGCCAGGTTGGAGAGAAGGGGGCAGGTCAAGGTGTTCACCGTGTTGGGCTGGAACTGGACTTGCTCACATGGCTTCTCGCCTGTGGGCAGAAGAGGCACAGGGTAAAGGGGGGCTGGTGTCCATAGCAGCCCCAGGCTCACCCACCTCCCTCTGGACTGTGCTCCTTATGCCATGACAGGCAACTCTGGGGACTTCAGGGACTGTGAGGCTCACTTCCCAGGGTTCTGCTTGTAGGACTGGAGGGATGAAGATGTGAGGAAAGGCATTTACACCCACCAGTGCCTGCAGGAACCTTCTAAGCAGACTTGGCTCCCACCTCGCCTCCATCTTTGATGGGGCACCTTACCTGCTGGTGCAGAAGACCGGGGCCTGGCCGAGGAGGTGTTGCAGAGGTCCCTGGCGTTAGCCTCCTCGATGTCCTGGATCCATGGCCTGAGGACCAAAGAGAATGTGAGATAGGCCAGGAACCCCCCGTGAGCCCGTATCCCCCCTCTCAGCACAGCACAGGCCCTCATGCAGTCCTGCAGACACAGGGCTTCCTGGGGAGGGGTCTGGGGCTCAGGGACAACAGGCCTGAAGCAGGGTAAGAAGCAGAGTTTCCCCAGGCTGATTCCCCACCCTCACAGGGTTTGAGCCAGTGTCTCTGTCTACACAGTATTTACTTCAATAAAAGTTACTATAATACTTCCCTGATTACAAAAGCAGTATGAGCCTTTAAAAAGTCTGGAAGGACAGGTGGATCTATATGTACGTATCCGTCTCTTTTAAAGCAATGCACATGCACTGACTTGTTTAATAAAACATAATAAGGAAGAAAAGTAATTCTTGATACACTCAGAAAACCTGAAAATCTCAACCAAGACAAAGGCTAAAGACACTACAGAAATCACACACAATCAACCATCTAGCGACCGTCACAGGTAGAATTTGGAGTGTGTCCCTCCAGGTGTACATATGTGTACTCATATGTGCTTTTTTGAAATATAAAACTAGCACCAGGGGTCCCTCTATGTGAAGCAAGGACATTACAAATGGGACAGATCTCATTTTTACTTAAAATATGTGAATATTTATTTTACACATATGTAGAAAAATCTGGGAGGATATACATATATCAAAATCTCAGAGATTCTCTCTAAGTGGTAGGATTGGGGGTAGTTTTTATTTTGTTTGTGCTTATCTCTATTTTCTTTTCTTTTTTTTTTTTTGTGAGGAAGACCAGCCCTGAACTAACATCCAATGCCAATCCTCCTCTTTTTTTGCTGAGGAAGATTGGCCCCAGGCTAACATCCTTGCCCATCTTCCTCTACTTTATATGGGACGCTGCCACAGCATGGTTTGACAAGCGGTGCGTCGTGCATGCCCGGGACCTGAACCTGCGAACCCCGGGCCGCCGAAGCAGAGCACACACACTTAACTGCTGCGCCACCGGGCTGGTCCCCTTATCTCTATTTTCTAAATGAACATTTTATAATCCAAATAGGTTATTCTGAAAAAAAAATTGTTCTTTTTTTTTTTTTTAAAGATGAATAGCATTTTATTTATTTATTTTTTTTGTGAGGAAGATCAGCCCTGAGCTAACATCCATGCTGATCCTCCTCTTTTTGCTGAGGAAGACTGGCCCTGAGCTAACACCCGTGCCGATCGTCCTCCACTTTATGTGGGATGCCGCCACAGCATGGCCTGATAAGTGGTGCGTCAGTGCATGCCCGGGATCTGAACCCGGGCCGCCAGCAGGGGAGCGCGTGCACTTAACCGCTATGCCATGGGGCCAGCCCCTGAAAACACTTGTTAATGGGTTTGTTAATGGACTGTTGTGCTGCCCTTAATTTTTGTTACTATTTTTTGAATGAAAACACTCATGTGCCAACCCACATTCTCCTGCAAGGTTTTTCGTAGCTGTGACATTTCATACTTTACCAGATCTTGTCCCTCTTTACAGATGGGTAAAGCAAACATAATTTATTGTCTGAACTACAACACTTCTGAGACTCCGAAGGGGAGCTAATTAATAATTATGCTGAGACAGTGGATGCAAACAAGGCTGCGTGGTGATTCTACAAGGGCCCAGGGAAGGTGCTGAGGCCAAGTGCACAAGGGTGGACGAGTGGAGGTGCGGGGCCTTCAGGAGCTCCCACCTGGAGGCCACATCAGGCTGGTAGAGGCTGGTGTGCCTGCAGCTGGAGCCACTCCAAGCGCAGTAGGGGTCCCGGGCGAGTAGGCAGTCCCCACAGCTCCGGTACAGGCTGCAGTTGGCCATGGGCACCTGGACTACACCCGAGTGTGAGGCAGCATACAACAGTCCCTGCACAGACACCAGGCAATGAGTGGCAGGCATGGGCAGCCAGAGCCACCACCCATAGCTGCACTTGGCTCACGTGCCCACAAAGCCACTCCCCAAGGGGCCTCCTCTCACGTTCCCAGGCACCCCACTTTCTGATAGCTCATGCCATGACCCTGGATCTTTCCATCCTGATGGGCAAGGGAGGAAAACCTGGGTGGGGACTGCTTGTCAATAACAGCAGGCTGCCTGGACTCCTCCTCTGCCTGCTCACCCTGTCGGTGTCCAGGAGCAGGTTCTGCACAGGCTGTCCTGGTGAGAAGATCTGGAGCTCCTCGATGATGTGCATCCTGGGGCCCACGCCCACTGCCTTGTGCAGCCGGCCATCACCTGGAGCATGGACAGCACTCAGGCCCTGGGCAGAGCCGCTGCCCATGACCCAACAGCCATGCCCCCTTGACTCCAAGCCTGTCCTGCTGCAGGCACTCACCGGTGCCCAGGAAGAGGACATCATAGGTGCGGTGCAGGCCAGGGACACGGTGTACAGCCATGCGCTGGTAGCGGGTCTCAGGCTGCAGCAGCAGCAGCTGGCTGCGGACCTGCCCATCCATCAGGAAGTGGTCCTTGAGGAAGTTCAGCACACGGTCAGGGAGCTGCAGGGACGAGCTGATCTTCCTCTCCCGGGCACTGTTGGTGATGCACTGAAGGAGAAGGTAGCAGTGGGAGGTGAGCGACATCAGGGTGGCAAGCAGGACAGGGGCCCTGAGGATCCTGGGGGGACTGCTGGCCCTGCCTCCCCAGTGGACGGCAGGGGTATCTGCCCCGCCCTCTGCAGCCATGGCACATCACCTGCAGTTCTGGAGAGAGCCAACCCTGATCCGGAGGCCCAAGAGCAAAGCTCCAGGTGTGGGGCACCCAAGGGCCCTGCTGGCAGCGTTTCCTCACTGTGCCTCCTCCCTGCCCGCCCCCTCGCCCTCACACAGGCCTCAAGAAGCACGACCACACGTCCTGCTCTAGAGCATCCTCTCACCGGTGCCCCCAGGAGGCCCTGGCTAACCAAGGTTTCCCAGTGGAGGAGCATGAAGGTGCCTGCAGTTAGCTCCCACAGTGCCCGGGGCTGCTCTCTGTAAGAGCCTGAGAGTTAATGGCCTGCAGTGACCCTCAACCGATGAGGCACGGGGGGCAGTGATAAACACTCCTGCGGGACAATTCTGAGATGTGCTCTGCACAGCCTCTCAGGGCCTAGGGCGCCCACAGCAGTAAGGGCTCATCAACACACCATGTCTTAGCTCTGCTCCCGCCTTCTCTCTTTCTAGTTCCCTCAAGCGGCTTCCTGGGATCCCTCCCGAATCAACCGCTGGCCTCACATCCTTGTCTCAAGGTCTGCTTTGGGGGGAGCATTAGACTGAATGGAAGGAAGAAAGGACTATTTCCCCACTGCCTGGCCACGCGGTCACTAGACAACTAAATGAGGAGCTCACAGCCCAGTGGGGGAGGCATGAGGGGACAGTTACAAACATGTGCAGTGAGTGCCCTGATGGGGACACACCTGCCCCCCTGAGGCAGGTCCGAAGGCATCCTGACACTCAGGCTCACATCCAACCCAGCAGGACAAGCAGGCCTGAGCTTCTGTCCCCACATTCAAGATGAGAAGACAGACTTGAAGAAGCTAAGTGACCACCACACGGTGTGGGGACCCATCGTCCCAGCACCCTGCCCTACAGCAGGGAATGGGACTCACCGCCCCAGGACGGGGTGTGGGCACCAGGTGGGTCACGGTGTACCACTGCTGCGTCTCACGGTTCACCTCCTTGTAGAGGCCATCAAAGGCCCTCTGCACATCCTTCATAGTGAAGACACAGATGGCAGAGCCCTCTGTGGTCCCCCTGTGCCTACAAAGGAAATAGCCAGATTAACCCAAGAGCCCTGGAGCTCAGGACGAGGCCAGCTGGGCCCAAAGGCCCAGCTGCCCCTCACCCTCCCATCCCAGCTAGGTCCTGGGGGTCCTACCACTGGGAAGTGAAGACCCCATAGAAAAGGGTGTCACGCCAGTCCTGGGGGCTGGGGCTCAGGGTGAAGACATCCTGCAGCACGTTGAATGGGAAGCCGTCGTCAGGCCGTGAGCACAGCAGCTGGGCCTTCAGGAAGGACGTCCAGCGCTGCTGCAGGACCCGCTCGCCACCCTCATCACCCTGGCAGAGGGAGAGAGAGGCTGGGCCCAGGCACGAGCCAGGCCGGGGGGAGGCTTGGTGCCCCTCGCTGTCCCCTCCCCAGCAGCAGCTGAGACCGACACCAGGAAGGAAGAGCAAGGCAAAGCCAGGACTGAGTTCCATTTAAAATCAAGAAGACTTGGAGGTGGCGTACAGGGCCCATTCCTATGCGGAATGCCAGAAAAAAGGAGGAAGGGAAGTCTGTCTACAAATACGGGAAGATATCATCCACTGCTGAACAAGAAGGGAAGCTAAAGGACTGCATTACAATACAACTCTTGCTTGTAAATAATTTTTAAATAATATAAATATACATTTACACACATGCAAAAAAAGATTAGCAAAGAACATTGTAAAATGTTAAGTGTCACTTCTTGTGGTAGGGCGGCAGGATTGTAACACTAAGAGTTAACATTTAGCTGTTGTCTACCACATTTCTAAAAGCTTGACGTGGATTAATTTAATCCACATAACAACTCAGAGGGAGGTTTTGTTACTATTCCTCCTGAACAGATGAGGAAGCTGTGACTGAGGGGGAAAGGACTTGCCCAAGATCACACGACCAGCAGGGTTCCAGCCCAGACTCTACACTTTCAATCACAATGCTATACCGCCTCTTTATCTTATAAGTGTTTTTTCTGTGTACTTTTCAGCACTTTCACATTTTTTAAATAAGAAAAAATGATGAGATATTTTAACTTAAAAGAAGAGAGAGAAAAGCCGTCAGCCAAGCTGATCCTCCTGGAGGACATGAGGAGGGCAGTGATGCGGGGCCTCCTGGCGTGTCCTGATTCTGTGCCCATGGAGCTTCGGGGTCTCTGGCGTGGCCCACCCCCTCACCTTGCAGATGCGGGCGATGCGGGACACGATGGTGTTCTCAAAGAACTCAAACTCCTGGCCAGTCTCGCTGAAGAAGAAGTAGATCTTGTCGTCGTCCCCTTGCAAGCTGCCCAGGCTCTCGGGAATGTAGGCCGAAGCCACAAACGCTGGGTCTGTGGGGCCGGTGGAGAGTACAGAGTCAGCCCAGGGATTGGACTGGCGAGACTGTTCTCAGGCTCTGCTGGGGGAGGGTGCCTCCCTAGGGCTCCGGTGACTGCCCACTGGGTGGGTGGTGGGAGGACTTCACCTTGTAGCCAGTTGAGGGAGCTCTCGGTCTTGGTGGGGCGGAGGCTTTGGCTCCGGGAGATTGCCGGGTCATTCCCTTGGAAGCTGCTGACTGTTCCAGTGTAGAGCTCGCCATCTGCCAAGAGAACGTTCCCATGGGAATGGTCCCTTCTCCCGACTCAGGACCCGGAGTGACCCCAGGGCTGTCCATCTCGCTTGAAGTGGGCAGAGGAGGAAGTGGGAACTGGGAAAAGCCAAAACCAAGGGCAGCCCAGGGTCACTCCACACCCCCTGGGAATCAGCATGGCATGGATGCACCAGCTCAGGCCTGGGGCCCACCCTGCCCGCCCCCACATGGAGCCTCAGTGAATCCATCCTGCCACCCTGCCCCCAACTCTCACCAACCACCAGGGCTGTGGACTTGAAATTGGGGTCAAAGGGACAGCGGCCCTTGCCATCTTCCAGGAAGATGTTCCCCGCCTCGTCCTGCGCCAGAGTGAAGTTCTCCACGCTCTGCAGGGGAGCAGACAGGCAAGCTCAGGGGCATACCAGGCAACAAGTCGGCACAGCAGGAAAGGAGGAAGGTGTGCCAGAGAGAAAGGAGGTGTCGGGCAGGCCGTCCCCACCCCAGCACCCAGGGCACAGTGCCGGCACCCTATGCGGTGGCACTATTAGCCCCTGTTGGCAGAGAAGAGACAAGGCTGAGAAAGGTGATGTGAGCCAGGAAGGGGCAGCAACATGACTTAAACCCAGGTATGTCTACTCCAACGCTGTGCTCCAACCCACAGCCTCAAAACACTGCCCTTTGCTAAGGTGTGTGTAGGGCATAAACACGAGGGTAGAATGCGTCGAGGAGGGGGTGTATGAGGTGGGCTAGCAGGAACTGGGTGAGAGCAGGGGAGGGAGCTGGAGGAAGCAAGTGGGCACGAGTCGTGGGTCAGGCAGGATCTCTGTGCCTGGATGATCACAGGCCCCTCCTTTCCCCTGCAGGGCAATCTGGCATCAGGGCTGAGGCTGGGCCTTAGGGCCCTCAGAGCCCAATGCTATCAAGAAGCCACCCCCTGGTCCTGCCCTCCACCAGGCACTGGTGCTAGACAACAGCTCCCTGGGGCAGAAAGTGGGGCAGTTCCCAGGCCAGCTGCAGGTGAGCCTGGGGCCGAGGACAGGCACTCACGATGTAGGTGCACACGGGGCTGAAGGCCGCTGTGCCACAGGTGAACAGGTGGCTGCTATTGAGTGGCAGGAGGATCTTGACATAGTTTTGACAGTCACGCTGGGGAAGAAGAGAGGAAGACGTCAGGCCAAGCATGCCACCAGACCCAAGGCCAATCCCGGGGGTGAGGCCTCTGCTGTTGTGCACTCAAGTCCAGGAACAAATGAGAAGCCAGGAGCCTCCCGGGGCAGAGCAGACCGAGGACCACAGAGTGTGTGCAGGAGGACCTTGGGGCTCAGCCAGTTCTGTGGTTGACAAACCTTCCTTCAGTCGGGAGGTGAAGGCACAGAATCCCTCCCTCTTGGCCCCCCGAAGGTCCTCTTTGGGTCCTCGGTGGAAACTCGCCTGGTGAGGGAGCCCAGCCCAGAGCAGGGAGAAATGCTCAGCCCTGACCCCCAAGCCCCAGACTCATGTACCACCTCCGCGAGGGTGTCTCACAGGCATCTCCAACCGAGCTTCTGATCGTCCCCCAAAACCTTCTCCCCCCCGAGATCTTTCCCCTTCCATTAACGGCAACTCCATCTTCTCAGTTGCTGAGGCCCCAAACCTCACAGTCAGCATCAACTCCTATCTCTCACTCCCCCACTTTTCCATCAGGAAATCCTGGTGGCCTTATCTTCACAATACCTCCAGAATCCAGCCATTTCTCACTCCCTTTATTGGCACCACCCTGACCTGAGCCACCATCCCCTCTCACCCCTCACTGGTCTCCCTCCCTCTGTTCTCGCCCCACGGAGGCCGCTCTCTACCGTTACGGCCAGAGTGACCCCTTTAAAACACACGCCAGAACATGTCACTCCTCTGCTCAGCCCTCCAGGGGCTCCCAACTGCCTCACTCAGAGTAAAATCCAGAGTCCTGCTCCTTCTCTAGGTATCCCACGGTCAACTGCCTCACCTCCTTCTAATCTTGGCTCAAATGTCACCTTTTTAATGAAGTGTAACCTGACAACTTTTTAAACTGACAGTTTTGCCTGTTGTTTCTTCTTTTCACAATTATATCTCCAGTGTCTAAAAGCATCCGGGCACAGAGCAAGTGCTTAACAAACGTTTGCCGAATAAAAGAAGCCAGGGACAGCCAGGACTTGAACCTGTGTCCTGACCCGAAGTCTGGTGCTCTTCTGCCTTCACCTTAGCCACCACTCGCTACACTCAGGACCAGGGGGCCCCTGGGGATGGTAGGGAATCCTCCAGGAGAACCTCAGGCTGGACCAGACCCCACCTAACGGTCTGGCCAAAACCCAACCAGAATCCGTCAGACCGGCCAGGACAGGCACCATCGGCAGAGGGATTCGACTCTCAGCCCACCAGGTCACTGCTCCTGCTGGAAGCTAATGCTTATTTGGAACTTATTATGTACCAGGTGCCTTACACCTGTTAGTTTTTTGAATCCTTAGGGTAAGCCCAGTGAGAGAGGCATCATTTTTCCCATTTTACAGGTGGGGATACTAAGGTTCAGAGAGGCAAAACTACTAGTCCAAGGTCACAGAGATGATGAGTATAGGGCTGAGATGCAAACCCACGTCTGGCCATCTTAGAAGCCTACACCCTTTCCATAACGGCTGGCTGCATCCACTCCCACCCTCCTGCCTCCGTCCTGGGTTCAGGTCTATACCCCCCATCCCTCCTTCAGCCCAGTTCACCTCCAGGTGCTCGCTCACCTGCGGGTCCTTGCCCTTGAAGCTGCATTGCTGTTTCCTCTCCACATCTGCGCTCCACAGCAGCTGGGAATGAGAGAGGGGAAAGTAAGTGTGCAAGGGGGAATGGAGGACACGCCGAGTCTCTCCTCTCCCCTCTCCCGTCTGCATCATCCTCGGACCCAGAAGGTCAACTTCCTGTCCACCTTCCCTCTGCCATCCTCTGCCCAGCCTAGCCAGCCCTGGTCTTCATCTCTCACCTGCTGGTACCCTCCACCTGGCAGGAAGCTGCTGCTGCTGTTGAGCGCAAAGAGGGCCTCTCGGGCACCCACATACAGAGTCTTGCCATCCCTGCTCAGCAGAAGGGCCGTGTAGTTGGAGATGTTTTCAGCTTCAAATCTGAGAAATGGCCGCTCTTCAGAGCCTGGGGAGAGGAAGATGGACATTACATGGGGACCACCCCTCCCACAAGAACCCTCTTACACCAATCTCTAGAATGGGCCAATCCGACTGAAGGTAGATCAGCAAGGCAGTGGATGGCAAGGAGCTGGGGACAAGGGTTCAGGCTTAATGGGCAGCAGCGTTCCTGGACTCTCAAACACTACGTAAGGAACAAATGCACAAAGATGAATGTAAAAGAACATTAATTATAGCACCATTCATATTAATGAAAAATTGAAACAACCTAAATGTTAAACCACAGGGGACTGGGTGAAAACAAAACCTAATACTTCATCTGATGGAATACTACGCAGCTGGTAAAAATGTGGTACTAGAAACCCCAGAAAAACAAGCAAACAAAGTTATATAAGAAAGGCACACTCAAAATATGAAGAGATGGTTTTTGAGCACATAACAGAACATTAGAAAGGAAAGTACATTTAACACTCTCCTTTGAGTGGCATTAGACTCAAAGAGGAGGACTTGCAAGCACAGCCCACTCCTCAGCCCTGCCGCAAACACGCTTTCCATTGGCGGCGGAATGCAAACAAAGGGCGCTGGTCTTCAACTCTCAGCACCACCACAGTCACTCACAGAAGATTTATGGGTATTAAACAGGATGTAAATGTTATCAACCCTGACCTCAGAAACCTGAATGTACGAGACAGATACTGCGATGCTGGGGGCGAGGGGAGTTAAGGCAACGGTGGAGTCTCCGTATTTTCCTCTGAGAGCAAAGAGGGCCACAAGATACTGTCAATGGTTAATGGAACAAGAAACTGAGGTTTCAGTGTATTATTTTAAATTGCAAAGGCAACCAAATATAGTGGCAGAAAATGTCAGGAGGAGGTGGGGAAGGGTGATGTAAGTGATAGAAAGCCTTATTTTTCTCAGCAGCAAATCAGTAAGTCAGGTAAGCAAAGAAATAGCCAAGAAATAAGCATTTTACTTAAATATTTACTTAAATACAGAATAAACCACTGTATAGCAAGAAGTCTAAATGATTAAAAGTTGCCCCTTTTGAAACATATATATGGTGATGGACAAACAAAAATGTACAACCGAAAATTTCACAATGTTATAAACTATTAAAACATCAATAATAAATAAATAAATAAATAAAAAGTTGCCCCTTTTAACCAGGCCTGGGGCTGGGGAAACTGAGGCAGTTGTTGCTTTTCATAAGTCCTTCTATACTTAAAAAAAAAAAATTATGTGCATGTATCCTTGATATAAATTTTAAATATCTTTCCTTGTTGTAGTAACAAGGAAAGATACTAATTATCTACCACTAAGTGAAAATGAAGGTTATAAAAAAAAGTATGTATAGTTAGATTCTAATTTTTTGAGGGAAAAATAAAAATATAGAAAAAAAATCCAGAAAGATGAATCACAAAACGCTGAAAAGGGGTATCCCTGGTGGGATTGTAGGGGGTTTTTTTCCTTTTCATTTGTTATCATTTTTGGATTCTACAGGTTATACTTGTGTAATGCTAAAGAAATAAATTAGAGAGAAGGAGAGGAAGAAGAAGAAAAAAGAAAGAAACACACAGATCTATCCACCAGGGCACCGTTTGTGCTTTGAGTGACTAATGGATTTGGAGAGAAATTATTTAAAAAATTCTAAGCAGCTGATAAGAAAAGAAAATCAAGCAGAAAGCAGCCGCCCTGCCACCTCAGGCACCCCTGACTGACCAGTGAAAGACAACCACGCAAACAAACAGTCACGATGCGGAGGAAGCAAAAAGCGCAAGAGGCCAACAAAGCAGTTGTGAAGACGGCTCGTGTGTTCACACAGCGAGTGTGTTTACATACCCCAGCCCGGTTCCACAAACGGTGAGGAAACACAAGCAAAAGGCAGTGAAATAGAAACACCAAAGTCAGGAGTACAGAAAAAAACCAAATCTGAAGAAAACATCTAAACCAGAAGGGAAGGACAGATTTGCATAAGCAGGTCATAAGGTCCTCACACAGCTAGTAGAGACGGGCTGCACATGTAGTTCTCAGCCTCCCAGTGGCCAAAGAGAAAAGGGAAATGAAGTTACCTTGTCCTTATTGTCCAAGAGGACGAACACATACCAGCCTTTCCGGGGAAGCTAAGCTTTTTACCTAGCCTCTCATGCTGAAAGAAACCCTCAGGTGGGAATTCCTGGCAAATATATGGGATATGGGATGGATAGCATCCCACCAGCAAACAGGATGATGGAGTTCCCAAGGCCATTCCTCACACTGTCTCCTGGTGAGGGAAGGCGGTGACATAAAGTCACCAGTACAGGAATCTATGGGGGAATGTGTGTGGCTCTGCAGCTGGGAGGCTTGTCACTCTAGAACCAGAGTTAGAACTGGGGCTGCACTGAGAATTCACAGCGGACAGTCCTGCCTCACGTCCAGAGCCCACACTCTGCTCCTGAAACCATACAGGGCAGCTGTGGTTGGAGAAGTTAAGGCTTCTCTGAACTATGAAATCCAGAATCACACCAGACTCTAGGTCTTTTGCCTCCAATTCCCAAATCCTCACCACTTCCTGTTGGCACTCTACACACTGGGAGGCCCAAGGAAAGTTTCCGTCACTCATCCTCCACTCTTCCCAAGCAGAAAATTTCCCAGCACACTGGGCCCAATTACGTTGCTTGTACTTTGTGCCAATGTACTAAGGAGACTTCTGGAACAAGCAGCCTGACCTTCTGGTCCTCTGCTCCTGGGAAGAACCACCACCCAGAAGAGACCCATCCCGTTGGCCACCATAGGACCTCCTGGGACGGTGCTGGGCTAAACATGTTGTGGATATCAACTGCCTGCATGCCTATGATAACCCTACAAGGCAGGTACTGTGGGATCCCCAGTTTACAAATGAAGAAGTCAGAGCTCATAGAGATGAAGCAACTTACACGAAGCCCCACAGCAAAAAAGAAGGTGCAGTGGGAAGCCGGCTCAGGAGGTCTCCTTCCTGAACCCATGCTCTGCAAACCGCAGGATGCAGCAAAATCACCTGGAAATCTAAAGTCCAGATCCAGGGCCTGCCCCTAGAGGTTCTGATGCTGCTGACCTGGGACGGGGCCTGAGGATGTGCAATGTTACGAGCTCCCAGGGGATTCCGAAGGACGTCCAAGGACCACACTTTGAGAAGCACCGCGTAGGCCCTCCTGTAGGGCAGTGTAGACGTCATCTCACTGAGCTGTAGTTTCCCCTTATGTTTATCACGGGGATAATGAAAAAAAAAAAAAAAAAAAAAACTCACAGGGGCCTCATGAGGAGTCACTGAGACCAGGGCGATAGCTACTGCGGTCCCTCCTTATCTTTTGCATCGCTCCACAGTTTTCTGAAAGCAAGGGCTGGTTCAAATTTGCCAATGCTTATAGGCCTGCGGAAGAGGGGCGTTTCCACCCCAGGGCGGGTCCTGTAAGTCTGGGCAGGAGGTTGCCCTTGGAATCTGTCCAGATACAGAAATGCCAAAGGTCAGAGATAAGCTGAAGTCCAGGTGGCAGCTCAGCCCCACTCAGGCCTGGGAGGGGGTGGAAACCTACAAGGGTCACGCAGATAGAGCATAGCCAGGCTGGGGCGGCAGCCAGGATGCCAGCCCAGCCCTCCAAATAAGCCAGCTGCTCAAGAACTCCCCACATCTCCTCCAATCATATTGGGAGTACCGTCAATGAAACGGCAGAGGGACAACACACCTCAGAGAAATGGGCGAGGGGCCCCTTACACCATGCATTCCCATTCTGGGGACTCTCCTCCTCTGGCCCCCTGCCCTGAGCTGCTCAAAGCCATGGTGTCCTGAAGGCCTTGCACCCCACGATCCCCCTTGCCCTGTGGACTTCACCGGGGACAGTCAGTGTGGCTGACTTCCCAACTAGGAGTCTCGATGAGACAGATTAAGAATGCACACTCTGGTTCAATCCTGCCTCTGTCACTCACTAGCCATTTGTCACCAGGACAAGGCACTTAACATCTTGGAGCCTCACTTTCCTTATCTGTAAAATGGGGATAATAGCACCTTGCCTCACAGGGTTTTTATGAGAAGAAATGAGATTACGTATGTAAATAACAATATACATAATAACCCACATTTACTGAGAGCTTTACTCAAAACAACTTTGCACACGTTATCCCCGCGTTGGCATAGTGTCTGGCATGCGATCAAAACTCGAGCGGATCAAAAATAAAATCCAAAGGCCCTATAGGAAAATCCAGGCCGGTGAGAGCTGCCAGAGGAGCAGGGCTGTTTAGAAGAGCTGGGCCTCCCTCGTCCTCATGGTTAAAAATCACATCCTGGGCGATTCTAACTCACGCCTGCACCTGGTCACACAGGTCTCATGGCCAATCAGAGAGCATCAGCTCAGAGCCGGGACGGGTGTCACAGGCACGCATTGTGTGCGTGAGCTGGTCCCTGTTCAGCGGTATTCTGAGTGCTGTTCCTGCCTGAGCGCCCGGATGCCTGGGGTCTCCTCCAGAGTCACTGCACAGACGTCTGTGCGGACCCTGCCTGAGCTTGCATGTGTGCGTATGTGTGTGTGTGTGTGTGTGTGTGTCCGTCCTACCACAGGGCCCGTGTGTGTGTGTGTGTCTCTCTCTCTCTCCTACCCAAGGGCTTGTCCATGCCTGTGTGTTCGCTCTGGGGTGCTATTTGTGTAGAAGTGACTGGGAAGGGGTGTTGGTACACTCTGCTCCCTGTGAGTACTGCCTCCCCTTACGGTCAATCTTAGCTTCTCCGCTGCTCTCTGTGTGGCTCTGTGGCAGAGGGTGTCTCGTGGGGGCTCCTGGGCTGCCTGTGCTGCTCAGACATCCTGCGTGTCCTCTGCTGGGCGGGTGAGTCCAGCACGGAGAGAGTAGGGCTGCCTGAGGCTGTGGCCAGTTCTCCCAGGTGGGATGAAACCTTTCTATCCGCCCTGGACAGGCCTGAGCCAGTGGCTTCTCCACGGCTCCAAGAAGGCAGGGTGGGGGGCTGGCCTGGGGCTGTCCAGCATCAAGCATCCTGGGAGAGGG